GCTGAAGTAGTGCCGTGGTATGTGATCAAGTATTTGGTTATCTGTGACCAAGTTTTTAACTGGGACCTAAAAATTTGACAATATGTGACTAAAAAATAATTTGTGACCAACAAATTTAAAAATATGTGACCAATGAAATTAACTATTTTTTTTATCCTTGACCTAAAAATTATATAATCTGTGACCGTAAAAAATCTATGACCAGTTAATTTGGAAATATGTGACCATGTGACCGATAAATTTTGAAATCTGTGACCAACGAATTAAATGTGACCTATAAAATAATCCGTGACTATAAAATAATCCGTGACGTACACAAATTATTATTTGTGACTGAAAAATAGTATGTGACTAATTAAATTATAAATCTGTGACCGGAATTATTGCCGGAATAGTCGTAGGAATGATCGTCGGAGCAGTCGCCGGAATGATCGTCGGAGAAGAGTGGTGGTCGGAATGGTAGCCGGAATAGTCACCGGGAAAAAAAAATTTATTTTTATTTTAAATTTATTTTCAATACACAATTCATAAAATTCACGACTTTTAAACTACATATTTCATCAATCACAATCTACTAAAATTTTACTTTCCAAGCAGGTTAAATAAGACTAGACTCCACAAAAATTTATTTAAATTCTGATAAATATCTAATAAAAGTAGGGTTCTCATAAGCACTCTTATTGCGCGTTTCTTCATTTTCCTTACATTGGGAGATCGATTGGACTTTGTCGAGTTCTTCTTTTTTTTTTCCCGGAAATTTGTCAATGGGAGCGTAACCAAGTTTAAAACCTCAAAATCCTAAAAGGAATTATAAAACCCTACTCAATGTCTTTTGCTCAACCAGTGAATTCAGGAGGCAAGGTACAAGATAAGTTAGGGTAAATATCATCTACAAACACTAGAACTTTTAGCAAAATTTCAATTACTGAGTCACTAAACTTCAATTTAATTTTAAATTGAGTCACTGAACTAAGGTTCAAGTTCAAGTGTTGTTACTATTCATCTTCCAAATTGATGAAATTACTTAATTGATATTTACACCATTATTCTAAAAAGTTCGCCTAGGTCTTGCCACCTAGCCATGCTATGTGATTTTTTACGCCTAAAAGTTTAAAGCTTCACCTTGTCGTGTAATTATGCTTAACGTTATTAGAATACTGATCATACTGAAAATGAATCTTCCAAGCAATTGCTCTGTGACAAACTAATTTATATGTCGTGTCATTAAGTTATTTTTAAAAAAATGCATTTTACATATCAATCTAAATACATTACCGTGACTTTTGTTTAATCATGTTCATTTATAGGAGTCACGAAGTATATACATAGACGATTAGTTATAACATGACTATCTAGTAAACATTTTGTCTTTTTGGGAGGAAAGGTAACAAAATGTGGCGTTGTACTGAAATTTAAAATGAAATCGAAGTTTATCAATTCAATTGTCACAAATTAAAGTTTAATGATCCAAGTGAAATTTCACTATCCATCAATAGCAGATGAAATTCATCCAAATAAATTATAAAATTATAAAAAGAAACTAAAAAGTAAAAACTTTGAACACAATAACATTTTAATAATGGATATTAATTTCAATTAAAATATAATTGAACAAAATTATTTAAAAGAAAATTATGCTTCCGTTTATAAAAATTATAAATTATTTAAAAATGATCCTATCGAAATACTAAATAAGGAGATTAGGAAAACGGATCCAAACCGCAGTTTGAGTGACCGTTGCCAAGGAAGGTCAAAAATTAAGGTTGCCACTTTCGAACAGTCAGATAGCGATTTGCTATCATCCAAGGTTGAAAGCTCTTTTGTAATCCTCTGCATCAGTCAATTTGAGGTTGAGGTATTTGTAGCTCGGGTTAATGAAGTCAATCTCTTCATTTGATCTCTATATTTTCATAATTTTCTCATGGATTTGAATTGTATCAAATTTTCTTTATGACCACAAATTTCAATGATCCTACAAAATTATCCACTTACCCATTACTTATCTTCGTCTATTCATAAAAAATAATGCTACTTGCAGTCGCTGCAGCAGTCGTCATATGTGGCACATACATGTCAAGTATGTATTCAATGCATTAATGTAATCAAAAAACTATCACGTTAATTCATCAAATAACTACATGTCATGTGTAGGGCGTCTGCTCATTCCTAAATTACACCATTTACAAAATCCAGGTGTAAATAATGACTTAAAATTATTTTAATGCTAAAAAACTATTGGGCGAGTTGTGAAGATTTGTCAGCGTCATTATTGATTCTTGATAGTGAGAATTGAAGTTTTCAAGCACTACGTAATCCAGGGACGGCAGTCAATTTTTCACTTATTCTGCTCCAGACGAAGAAGAATATAGAATGTGCATATGCAAGTAGATTGACAAACTTTTCGCAACAAACAAATAAATAATGCCACCACTTTGACAGACTTTTTATAAAGAATTAATAAATTTAAATATTTTGTTAAATTATGACATTTTTGAACATCAAAGATTTATTTACAATATTTTAATAATTGAGAATTGAATATTCCAAACATTTGAAGAAAAAGCTATTAATGAGGATTTATTCAAAAGGGAAAATTACAGTTGGGCTGAATAAAGCATTTACATCTCCATTTTTTTGTAAATGGAACATTTGGATCTCTAATTTTCATATTTTTAGCGTTTGGATCCTCGATGCACTTTTGACTTTTAAAAACTTTCAATTAAAATAGAAGTCATTTGGATTTAGGGCATTAGTAAGAAGGGAAAAATTCATAAATAAGGTGTATTCTTTACACCAATTCAAAAATAAGGTTTATAGTTTGAAACTTCAAAAATCAGGGTTTTTTTTTTTTTTTTTTTAATTATAATATAATATAAT